GATGTTTCTGCTCATTATTCATTCCTGAGGCCGGCAAGGACAGGATGGATCAGCCAGTAAAGGTGCTTGCTGCCAAGCCTAATGACCTGAGTTTAGTTCTCAGAATCCATATGGTGAAAGTAGAGAACAGACTCCACTAAATTGTTCTCTGACCTGCATACACGTGCTTATAGTAATCTTAATATAGATTGGAGGTTCAGGCATTTTCTTCCTGTCAAAAATATTTAATGCTTTAGCAGTTCCAAAGAAAATAATAGCAAACTGCATATGCGGCTTCATTGCTTAAAATTACAACAGAGAATGTATGTTATGGATATTTTCAGTGGAAGTTACCAGAAGACTAAGCTCACACGTGACTAACTGAAAGGAAAAGAAATGAGAACAGAATTCCTACTCTGCTTTTATCAGGGAGAAGAAATATGAGAGCAAATTTGCATTTTTTGAAACAGGATCTCACTCAGTAGTTCAGGCTGTTCGAGAATTCACTTTGTAGCCCAGACTGGTCTCAAACCACACAATATGCCTGCTTCACCCTCCCAAGTGCTAGGATTACAGGTGTGGGACACAAGGTCCAGCTAAACTACCATCTTTTCATGATTTAACAAGAAGCTCTTTCATCTACGTAATTCATGGGTTCAATTGATTGCCACAGTTGAATTTTGTACTCTTTTTTTTTTTTTTTTTAAGCTGAAATTCTTGGACCCACTCAGTGGCCCCGAAAGGATAAATCAGTTACAACCAGTCACTATTGCATCAATCATTCTTTCCTCTGGTTTAGAGTACCTGAAGGTTAAAATGTTTCCGCAAAAGACTCACCTTCAGGTTCACTTGAATTTTCAGATGCATCCTCTGTTCTTAACGTCACCTGTCAAGTTGAGCCTCTTTTCACTATCCACAGATGCTCAGTGCAAGGGCCCTACATCCTACCATGCTTTGTTCAATCCCAATTATTTTCCCAAAATATAAATATATAAAAAGTCACTGGAAATTGTATTTGTCCGTGGGCTTTTGCAATGAGCCATTTTATGTTCCTTATATAGTGTGTAGGGTCTGTACATTTTGAACCATGAAAAAGACTAAATACAATTAAAACAATTATACAAAATTCTGGATATTTTATGAATAAAAACTACAACAAATTTTTTGAAGCTAGTAACCCATCTTAGTTTTTGTTTACTAGTTTTGTGACATCTCTGTTGCACAATATTCAATGAATAATACATTGACTAGAAAATTAAACACATTTCATGCAGTACCAAGTAAATATTTTTACTTGTGAAAATTAAACTCTTGGGATAAAGCTCAGTATGGAGTACTCATTAGCATAGAGTTTTAAAGAAATTCATTTTGAGAAAGTTAAATAATATGGTTAGTGTTTGCTGCCCATATACAACTTCTAATAAAAATCATAAAGTTAGGCAAAATATAGGCCAAGTTCTGTTGAACATCAGCAATTTGAACTTCCTTTTTATTTTATCCTCACTAATAGAACTGGTTTGGGAATCAACTTAAAATAACATTGTGGACAAGGTCAGTGGTGTGTGCCTCTTGTAGACCCACCCACTAGGGAAGCCAAGCCAGGAGGATCGTGGGGCCCAGTGCTTCCAGGACAGAAGAAACAGTCTTGACTTTCTATTCTATTTATCTGTGTCCTCGCTAGGTGAATGGTATACTTGCATATAATTTTTTGCCCCGGAAAAGTCATTATGTGTTTATTCTAGTAGAAAAACAAAGAATTTAGAAGGTAAGGTGAACATGTATTTAAATGCAATAAATACCATCTGACATTCGATCTATTATTTTCTCAAAGAATTACATGCCATTTGATTTTAAATTTTTCTTCGTGTTAAATAAGATGCTATGTGAACTAGCAGACACCTGACATTTGGCTGTGGAATGCTTGCTTGGCTGCCTTTCTTACATATTATCATGTATTTTCACACCTATCTTTGCTGTCTACTCTATTTCCTCAATCTCCTTCATTATCATTGTTGTTAGTCGACCCGTGGTGTTGACTGGGAAGTGGTGTTTATATTCTTGTTTTAACTGAGTTTCAAAGATCTTGAAAAACAGCCGTTGAGTTAAATCACGGCCTATCAATTATATTGCTTCTACTGGTAGACAGAGTCAATGTTGTAAGGACAGATTAGCTCTATGTATTTATTTACTCTGTGTCTACTTCAAACATTCTGAAAGAATGCCTCATTTTTTCCTACCTGTCTTGTTTAGGACTTTTTCTCCCACATTTCTCTACTAATAAAAGCCATGATTCCTTTTTCTTATTGTATGGAGTGGGTTTTAAAGAAAAAAGAAACTGATTGATTGTATGGATCAGAGAAATCTATAAAAGAGATAAAGATTTGATAGAAACCTGTGATTTTCCCTTTGGTATGTGATCTGTTCATTAGGCACAATTATATACTTTCCTTTTTTTCTGAATGCCTTTAAGCTCAGAGAATGTGGCAGTGGTTCCACAGACACTACCAGAGGAGAAAACAAGATTTCTTTCTCTTCATCATTGTGCAGATATTTCATTGGACTTTGTGTGATGGGTATTTTGAAGACGCTGGGAATTCACTAAACGCTACGCAGAGCACTCACTCTCATAAAGCTTCAGAGTTAAAAGTTAAAAGGAAAACTGTTGAATATGCAACTCTAAGGTCAATGCTTGTTTCTAAAGAATATGTTTCAGGAGCTATGAAGTATATAGTAAGATATTCTTTCTTACTATGAACTCAACAGTGTAAACAATGCCAAAAAGATTCCATTAATGAGTGATGGGAGGGAGGCTAAGGAAGATCGGGATGAGTCAGGTAAGGGAAAGTATCTCAAATGAAAGAAGCTAAAGCTACAAAGGCCCAGAAAGAACAAAGAGGAGCTTTAGAAGAATTGAAGGAAAACTTGTAAGGCTAAAAACGAGGAGGGCAAGTACACGATGACCATGTGACGAGGCAGGGAGAACAGAAAGAGACCAGAAAGCCCTCAGGCACAGTTTGTCCTGAAGCCAAAGGGAATGGTGACAGGAGTGGGATGCTTCAATATTAGTTGTGGTGGATGAGTTGGATTTATTGCAGAGTGATACAGGGGGGGGCACTGAGAACTGTAGTAGTAATTAGGCAAAGGAAAGTACGGACCTGTTTTGGATGTTGTCTAAGGGAAAATGGGTCATTCCGGATGATCAGAACATTCTAACATGAAAGTTATACCATTGAAAATGGCTGTGAATATTGGCTAAAAAGTCCACAGAGAAAAGAGATGTCTTTTAAAAAATATTTTATATTTGCCTTTCAAATTATGTGTGTAAAATATAATCATTATATAAATCACATTTGGACAAGAACACATAGTTAGTTCATCAACAGTTACACTGCCCTTGGATAGAAAATACTAAACTTCTCATATTTGAAAAAAATATGTATGTGCAAACACACAAAAAAGAACACAAATTATGCATGCATTTTAAAATACAGTTGAAATTTTTTTGCTATTTATATGCTTTCAAAAGCGGTAATGGTTTACCAACATTATATCTCTACAGTACAAAATACAATTTTACAGTATTTAAATTATATATAATCCATAGAACCACACACCAGTGATTTCATTAACTTTATATTTGGCACAACTTTGATACTGGCATTATACAGTGAATATTCATATGTGAAATATTTCAGTGGCATTGACATTTGAATGACACATTGAGCTGGCCTAAAAGACAGGCCTTTTCTACTTCTCTAAAGGTGTTTGAGCAATATTAGGGAAGATTTATTGTGGTAAGTACAGACCATTATAAAATTAGCACAAAAAATGAAACTACCTTATAAATAAAGATAAGTCTGAGGGAAAATAGTATATTTTCTTTTTTAGCAAAATGCACCAGTCTTTTTATCTGCATAATTCTACCATTTAAGGTTTCTTTCAACTAGTAATCCTCATCTGAGCTCTTGCCAAAATGGCTTGGCTCCAAATTATATTCTACCTAATTTTCATGGACTAGAAAAACTCCTTGTGATATACATGATAGAGCACTGAAATGGAACTCAGATCAAGAAAACATTCATCTCTTTGCAAACTTTATTCAAGGTCAATAGAAACAGAGTTTCTAGCGGACAATATTTCTATTCAAAGAAGGCAAGCTTCTCCTTTAGTTTAAATCTGTGAATGGGGCCATTGTTTACAGCTTGCATTTGTACTTTAAGTTCTCATGCCTTCTTTTTTTTCAGAATAACTGAATAATAAGCAGTTATTGAAGTGTATAAAAATTCACATATAATTTTTGAATGTTATATGCTTCAGCATGTTAGGCTTTAAATGAAACAGAAGGACACTCAAATAAAGTCACTTTTGTCAAAGCCTTTTCCTAAAACATATTTGGATGATGCAAGATGTAATCTCTTCTGATGCCCAAGTGATTGATTAGCCAATTTCTGTGGAATACACAAGAACTGTTTGGACTTTGTGGTTTTCTTTAATGAAACGAATAAGGAAATATGTTGTCTGAATAGGAAATAAAGTATGCTAGGCCTGTTTTAGATGCTTCAGTGTGCCAAAGGTGGTGTTAAGTTTGGTGTTCACAAATTACTAATCTGGAATAAGAGGGTGAATGTATTTTGAAAACTTAAACCTGTTGCAGCTGAACATGTTTAACTAGTTAATAAGAAACATCAAAAAGACAAAGCCCTGAGGTCAATGGTCATTTTTTGTAAAGCTATTCTATGCTGTTTAAATTGCTTGTTCGGGTCTGTCTATAACATAAGTTTAATAACCTAGCTCAAATGCAGATTTCTAATTTTCCATTAACATAGGAATAATTTTGTTTGCTAAAATAAAATAATGAATGAATGACAAGTCTGAAACATGAAATGCTCCAGGTAGAACTTTTTAAAATTCCAAATTTCAAAAAATCATGTGACAACTGTGTAGCTCGAGCTTTAAGTATTAACTTTTAACCTTTGACCTTACAGATTTTAACCAATGAAATGTCTCTTTAAACTTTAAAGGAAACAATGATAACGAGCGCCTGGCGATTGCTAGACAGCGAATTCCATATCGACTTGGTCGAGTAGTTGATGAATGGCTACTCGACAAAGGTAAAAAACATTGATTAAAACTTCAAATAAAAAAATAATTTGAACATAACCAAGTAGAACTTCATTGTAACACTAATAAACATAAAAAATAAATTTTCCGTAAAACTAAATTAAAAAAAATTTAAAACAGCAAAATGTAGATAGTAATATTTGCATACCTTGTATAATAATTTCTATACATTTTTAGAAGTACCAGCGGTTTAATAATCTTACCCAGTTAACTTAAGGTTAAAGGGACTGTTAAATATAATCCACTAACTCAATGTATGAAGGTACTCACAGCAAGCATTAACCCAAAATGATAAATCATTTATAGATTATATTCCATGTTCCAGCCTCTAAATTATTAACTAAAATATATGTAGTTCGGATATCTTTATCATGGTCCTGAAAAAAAAAAAGCAACTCTTTGTTTAAACTCTAGGAATCTTAAATAGTGGGCAATATGGATTGCCAGTCAAAATGAAGTCCCTTTAACGTTTGCAAACTTCTGAGAACATTTGGGAACAAACCCTAATTAAAACTGAACTTAAGTTGTGTGCATGCTTTTTATGAGCAGAGTCACTCTGCTAAAACTGGATCCTCCATTTGATGATAATGGTACTGTTGCTGAGGATTGTTGTCTGATGGAAATGTGCCATGATTCCTCCATCGGTTTGTGTGTCATTTCTGAAGCCGCTTTTTACATCTGAAGCTGTTTTTGTTCCTTTTTTCTTTGGTTCATTTTGTTTGTTTTGTTTTGATAGACTTGCTGAAAACCAATCAGAAAAATATTTTTGGATCCTTTTTTTGTCTCTGATCAGCTCAGTGTAAACCATGCATTTCTTTTCAGTGTGATTGCCGGAAAAATAGAATAATTGAGAATAATTGAAATAACAATGGACTATTGCCTTCAAAACATGTCTAAAGAACAGTATATAGATCCATGTGGGCATTATGTGAATTGTGAATTTTTTCTACAATAAATTTTAAAGTTAGAGTTTAACTTCTGCAGATTAGTTTCTTTCAGTGGTAATTTTAGGATAACAATACTTGAAATGCTAGATATGTCACACTTTTCAAATTTAGTAGTTTACATTCAAGAGACCAACAATAAGCTCTTGAGGGGAAAGAGAAAAGGCACCCACCAAAAACTGATTTGTACTATATATGTTTGATTGGTCTTTTAGCAAAAGCACCACATTGACAATCCGTTGAAAATTTATAAATATTTGCCAATAATTACGCATTTCATGGACACCTCATTTATAAGCAATGAATTATGAGTCAAACACCTCTCTTATAGTTTATTGCTCTCATTATCCACCCCATGAAAGATCTGTTTTATCATCCTTTGTAGAATGTAGAGTTCACAATCAACATTTTTGCATGTATGTAATATTATTTTTACAGGGCGTCAGCTCACAATCTTCAATAGCCAAGCAACCATAATAATTGGCGGGAAAGAGCAGGGCCAGCCCTTCCAGGGCCAGCTCTCTGGGCTTTACTACAATGGCTTGAAAGTTCTGAATATGGCAGCAGAAAATGATGCCAACATCGCCATAGTGGGAAATGTGAGACTGGTTGGTGAAGTGCCTTCCTCTATGACAACTGAGTCAACAGCCACTGCCATGCAGTCAGAGATGTCCACCTCAATCATGGAGACTACCACGACCCTGGCTACCAGCACAGCTAGAAGAGGAAAGCCTCCCACGAAAGAGCCCATTAGCCAGGTGAGCACATGCATGCCATCCTTTCATTTGGGACATGTGGTTTCAGAAGTGGGCCTTTCTTCGTGTGTCTTTTCTAAGCTGGATTTTCTTTCTGATCTTGTGTGCTTTGCATTCTTCGAGACTGGTGAACACAAGGTGTTCATTCTGCAGATGATGTGCATATGTCTGAGGAATCAAAGGTTCTATGCTGTGCAATGCAATGTTGGTCTAGGCCAGGCAAATGGAGAGGATCTGCTGGTTTTGAAGAATCTTTAGGTTTTAAGTGTAATGAACAAGCAAATTAATGGTGTGTTTAAAAGGCTTTGTTTAAATTAAGAACTTCATCAAAAGAAAAGGAAATTTGGTCTTAAAAGAGATAGTGCCTGCAATATTTCTATTGTATTTTGAGATACTAAATTTTTGGAATGTTAGAGACTTGGTTTTCATCGTGAATGATGGGTCTACTCTCTGTTAATGAGAAAAGAACTCCTTTAGGTTATCTGAGGTGAAGATGTAAAGTATGCTATTTAAAAACTGCCTGGAGCAAAGATATTTTGTATGATATGTAACTAATTGCTCTTACCTAGAATTCACTTTAATGAGTTTATTATTAAATTTTGTATCTGAAACTTTGAAAAATAGAATTTTAAAATGTGCCATTGGTATAAGTTGCAAGTTCATAGATTCAGTGGAGAAATACTTCCTGATTGCCTGTATGAGGCACTGTTTCAGTCATTGGCATTACATCAGAGAACACAGAATAAAGACTTATGAAATGTTATAAAATGCTTTTGAAATGCTATTAAATGCTATTAGATCCTTATTGATATTTGGAGCCTTTCTGCACATTCCAATGTTACAGAGTTTTGTGTTTTTTGTGATCCAAGATTGATTGTTTCATTTTGCTTTTAATAGTAAATATCTTCAATAGATGTCACATAAAGCTTTCTTCCAAATACACGATCCTTACCTATCAGAAATTTAAATTCCAAAGGAGCAAATGGCAACAATCAGTTTTTAAACTGCTTTTAGCTCAAGCATTTGAAACAGACTATCAGGTTTGGAAAGAAAACACCTGAAAGCAAGTTCTATTTTCATCAACACTCTAGCTCGTCATTAAGTTGGGTTTCAAAGGAAAAGAAGAAAACATATCCCCCCTTTTTACTTTGAATAGAATGGTATCATAGGCATGAATAGAAGAAGAAAAAAATGAGAAAAATACTTAAATCAATGTAGACGTGAACAAAGTTGTAACATAAATTAATAAATGTGGCACAGTACTAAATTGCATATTTTGCACCATGTGCGCTTATTTTTCATCCCCATACTTCCTTTCTTCTTCCATTTGCATTTGGTCACAAAGTGAAATGGGCTGTGTGATAGGACATATTCTAATATGTGTTTATCGATCAGTTTCTACATGAACAGACAGTGTTCTGGACATGAGGACACACTGGTAAAAATGAGCAGAAATTGATATTCATTTTAGTTGGAATATTTACTTGCAGTATCATCATTTTGTTGGTCACCTTTATGGGCTTTAAATTCATGATTGTTATTTTGTTGACTGTCTCTGTGGTGTTTAAATATATGTGATTGTTGATTATATAGTACTTATCATATTGGACAAAGACTTATGAGACTTCGCACAGATTTGTGCTTGTTCGTAGCTCTGATGGATATTCTTTTCTAATATTTCATCGAGGATTTGTTATCATTCTTGCTGATTGGTGCTTCACCTAATGAGGAACAACTTATAAAAATGAATCTGATACAGGAAAGATTAACTGTAAAAGAATTCATAAAATATTTCTTTTATATCAAATAATTCATGAGGGCATTTAAGTACATTTACAGTTGGAAATGTTTCTGTGAATACAATTGGAAGTAGTTTGGTATTTTTCTTGGTAGTCCTGTTTCATTGCTAATGAATTATAGTTTTCAAAACTCCTAGGTAAACCACGTGTTCCAAAAGGAATATTGACTAACATTATTTTAATGTGATTTATTGGTTAGTACATGCTCTCAGGAATTTTTAGTGGCCAAATAACTCTTAGATTGAAAAGATAAATATGAATACAGTCAAACTAAGTTTTGTGCATTTTATAAAATTAGCACAAAGGGAAACAGCTAAGTGCTTGCTAATGGTCAATAAAAAGAGTCTCTCATAACTTGTTATAAGTTTAAGGACAGAGGTGATTTGTAGAAGTGAATGATCTAATCAATGAGTGATCACTTGGTTCATTTGAGAAGATACTGACTTAAGTAAAAGATTACTGTGTGCATTTAAAAAATAGATATTTTAAATCTTTACATTTTTCATAGACTGATAACAATGATTAAATAATTTAGATTAATATGTTACAAACATTCAATTGTTATTAATATTCAGCAGGGCAGCAATGTCTTATATTTGGAAATATTTTAAAAACTATTTTATAGTCATATATGTATGATTTAAGGTAGCAATTCAATATACATTATGCAGGAACTGCAAATCACTATGAAAGAAAAGAAATTATTTTTGAGTAATAAGATAATTTTTCAAATTTTCCTAACTCATTATTTATTTTTAAATTGCCCTTTAAATACAAAGAGATTACTGATATAAATTAAATGTAAAGTGTTTATCTGACAAAATCATACCAGAATTTGGGACATTTAAATATGAGAGTGATTTATAGTGCTAATTTCAGGTCTTGACCCCCTTTTAGAAGGTTAGATGCAGCATCTGTTCTTTAAACCTTGTCCGTAGTGACCACATCTGTCTGCTTTTATCAACCCCCAAGAAGAGGTCGTTTCATTTTTCAAAATCTTAATGTACTGCTTTTCAATCAAAGTGTATTTTCCACAGTGATAACACTAAGCCATTTACACAGCAATGACTGTGCACCTTGGGATGACGGCATGTTTTAGAACTATGGAAGCAGATTTTTGGTCAACCAGAATTAAATTGGATTCATTTTACATAGATGAGCTGATGTTTGTGCAGCTATCCTGCAGGGCAAGGAGGAGGTGAGAAATCTATTTCAGGTTTCATCCAGTCAGAGACTACAGGAGCATTCATCAAAATACCCTCCACCAAATCCATTTAGATTCACGCCTGCTTAAAAGAAAATGCACTTTAAAAGTATAAAATAAAAAAGAGTTTTCTTTTGAGTGTTGATCAGTTTTCATACTAAAGTTTCTTAGCTCAACATGATTTATAATGGTAAAATAATACAGACATCTACCAATCTTTCTGATTAAATGGCTCCTCTTTTACTGTAAACATGACAATTTTGATAGAATTTTTTATGGGTTCCCTGACATTTATATGACTTGTTTTTCATAGAAAACTTAAGTCTTGAGATGTTGCCATAACGCTATTCTCAGACAGCAAAATATTTGCCAAAAAATCATTCTTTAGACTGTAGAGAGCTGTTTGGGGAGGGAGAATGTCATGCAAAATTTTTAGCTGCAAAGAGCTCTTTCCTTTAATGAATGAACTTGTGCATGGATCTTAGGTACATGACTGAAAAGAAGACACTCCTCTCCTCTTTTTCCCCACCTTTTTACATTTATTGTTTATTTATTGCTAATGTGCATAGACAGGAAAATAGAGTTGTGTTATTTCTGGAATATTCTTTGTAGCATATCAATGGTCTTTTCTGTTCTTCCCTTCAGGAGTATTTTGCATACTATACACATACTGTAGAAAATTCAGAGCCTTGGTATTTTTTTCCTTAGAGGAAATGTGGTATAATAGAACTAACATATTAATCATATTAATCAGGTTTATGCTTCCAATGCAAGTTTTTCGAACAGGCTATTAACCTCCCTGCACGGTGGCTTTGTTGCATCTCTATAATAAGTGACTTACTAGGAGTCTCTGGAATTGTCCTCAGCTCTAAATTTTAATTGTTTCTAGTGATGATGTTTTTAATTAGGTCGTCTCATTATTTAACAATGCTTATATTTCACTCCTGTCTTTTTGATCGGGTGGCCAGGCATCCTAGTTGGCTGTAAGTGTTCCTGTGTGCACCTGTGATGTGGTAACTCATAGTACTGCTTTCTGATTCTCAACACCTCATTCCACTATGTAAACTCTTTTGGACTATGCTCTTCAGCATATATAAAACCTACTTTTATGAGAGAATCATACTTCCTAAGAGTAATAAATAATTGAGCCTCATCCTTTGCATGTAGAACTGAAACTGATTCTAGTATCTTGACTTGGTTTTTAGAATCCATGGCCTTTTCATCTTTTCATCTCATTTCAAAGAGCATCTTGAGAAAGTAGAGAGAATCGGGCTTTGACAGATTCTGTTATTTATTTTTTTTTTTAACTGAAGGGACTGTATTTGGAACTCTTGGGAAGGAATTATAGATTGAGATAGAATCAGTAAGTATGGGCAGGCTCTCTTGAAGGAGTTCTCTGGTTTCATAGCTGGGCTTTTCAGAGTAGAGTTGGTAAATCTATGCAAGGAAAGGGACAGTTGTCAGAGAAGTGCATTTTTCACACATAAGATACCCTTTTAGAGCCAGTGATACTTGACGTCCATTGGAGTTTTTCTGAGAAGAAACCCAATTAGCATTAAGCAAGGAAAGTGTATAAATACACTCAACACTGCTGCTGCTTCCTGGAGGCTTTGGAGCTACTCATGAAAAATGAATACTATTTGTTTGAAAAATGTAAGCAGAGTGTACACATATTTCCATGAAAAATATTTAGAGCTAACAAAATACATTTTGTAACTCCTAAGAACAAAATCTTATTTTTATTAAAAATATTAATTAACCTTCACAGTGGCTTCATTATTAAAAATAGCAGTGTTACTCATAATTATGTGTGTTCCTGATAACACTTTGCATTTTTAGACTACTGGTGACATGAATAATTAATTTTATTTTCCCTAATCTAATCGTTCTGCTATATTCCCTGAAATTAATGTACAATTTTGTAGAAAGCTTTAGCACATATTGGAAGGAAAAACACTTGGATGTAAATTTTAAAATATATTCAAAGGCATGTTCTCTAA